TATATATATATATATATATATATATATATATATGATTATGCATATTGAGGGGGGGTTCAAACGAGAATATGATCTAACTAAGAAAGCACGAGATAGGCCAAATCACTTGTGATTACGGAACACGATCAATGCAAAGGATGTGCAGATGACTTGGCCCGCACCTAGGTCGTGGCTAAGGTTGAAACAAACGGTTGTTGGTATGAATGATTTTAGTGTAAAATCACATGTGATTTGGATGTTCTCATGTTTTCTTATATGGCCACTATTTTCGTTTGAAGCCGACCATGTATATATATATATATATATATGACGATAATAATGAGAACCACAAAAATGTTACAGATATGTGAAAACCGATATAAAAATATTTTTTTACATTATGTTTTTGATCAAAAGTTATGATTTTAACATATTGTTTCACATATGTTTGTGTTTACCTAATAAAAAAACTTGCATGTGAATTCTTTTTTGATTCACTTAGTGAAATGAAAAATACACATAAAAAATATGCATATGGTGGCAACAAATATATGTGAAACAATCACATTATGAAACAAATATATGTGAAACAATATCTGAAATCCTAGCATTTGAAGAAAAAAATTCATGTAAAAATTTATTTTAAAATCGATTCTCACGAGGTTTGTAATATTTTTTGGTTCTCATTTGATTAACCCCTATGTATAATTTATAATCTTTTTATTAGTATTATATATATATATATATATATATATATAGGTTGGTTCAAATACTAACGTATTTTTTTGTGTTAACTACGCTAACCAACATCAACCAATCATGTTCCATCTTTTAGTTAGGTTCAAATGTAACTCACATATTAAGTGTAAGGGTATTTAGGTAATTTGTCATTTTTATGTAACTCCCCAATATTTTAATTGGGAGTTACAAATTATAAAATATCACTAATTGATCTTCATGTAATAATGACATGAAGTTTCACATTTGTTCATCTTACTGATTTTTACATTTCATTTTTTTCTACAATGGTTTTAATATTGTAAATTTCAAAAAAGTCATTTCTGTAAAGATTCCGTTATAGTCCGAGTAATATGAATAATCATAGAGTAAAACAGATCGACGACAATGAGAATGAAAAAGCTAAAAGCGTCTACGAATACATTCGGAATTYGAATTCCGAAAGTGAAGAAAATGATCAAACCGTTCATGCACATGTTCACTCAAACGTCGACATATGTGTTCAATTGGTTCACACAATATGTCCATTTGGTTCACACACATGTTTCAATTGTTCATTAGATTCACACATTGTTTTGATGAAGATTATGAACCTAATTTTTCAATTGTTCATTAGGTTCACACACATGTTTCAATCTTATCTGGATGYCGWCGCCTGGTAATCCTTCCAAATCCTCCATTGTTTTGATGAAGATTATGAACMTAWTTTTTAGCTACTGATTTAAGATATTGATCGATGAGATTGACGGTTTCTTTATTGGTTGAAAGTTACAGAATAGGTTGACAAATTAGGATACGTTAAGATCATTCACTTTTTACAATTCTACCCTCTCAACCATTGTGAATCTAATTTTCTATTAATATGGTAATTAAATAATTAAATTTTTAGTCTCAATAAATGACAACCATTGGATGTTCAAATCAACGACCAAGATCGGTTAACAAAGTTAACACGATAATCTTGGTTAGTATTTGAACCAACCCCTATATAGATATATGTGTATATATATATATATATATATATATAGCAGCGGTGTTGGTCATCTAAGCCTAATCCAATTTCAACCTTTTTAATTGGTTGTTTAACGTTTTGGGAGGTTGAGTTGGATGGATTGACAGTATTTTGTACAACCCTAGATGCAAGTTATGATCTGGTTTCACTACGGATGGTAATAAAAACCGAAACTGATGGTGAAAACCGAAACCAAAACTTTCGAGTCGGGTTCGGGGACATCTTATCAGGGACGGGCAGGGATCGAGGACATATTCGGGGATTTTAACAGGGATGGGGGCGGGGATGATGATCACTGGCCGAGCCGGGCCGGATATGTATGTATATATTAACTTTAATTCATATACATATATATAATCATTAAAATTTAAAAGACTTTTATCCACTTTATCTCAACATCCCAAATAAGGTTCATGAAAAAGTCTAGTTTATTTGTCTAATCGTGAGCATGATGTTCATTGTGTGATGTTTGAATTTCTATTTACTTTTATATTGTAATCTAAGACATTGTTTGTAATTGGTTTTATTATGTTTGAGACATTTAGATTTACATTATTAAAAATATGTAATTTACTTTTAGTTGTGAAAATTAACATATTGTAACTTTTTTCAGATCAGTTCGGGTTTCGGGTTCCGGTATAACGAGCGGTAAACAGGGAAACCAATGGAAAAAGGGGATTTTCACCCTTAACGGGTACCCCAACGGGGATCGGGGAGACCACGGGGACCTGACGGGGATCCTCGATAAGATCCCGACGGGGATCGGGGCGGTTACAGGGACAGTTTTAGTTTGATTCTAGGGGCAGGCCCTTTGCCATTCATAGGTTTCACTATTATAGTAATGACAAGATTATGTCCATGTGAGTATCTTAAATCTTTAAGATAAATGTCAAGTATGATGATATTATCATATCCGTTTCTGACATTTTTTTGGGCCCTGGGCAATTTGTGAATTTGGGCCCTCTATATGTACAAAAAAATCTTAAATAAATGTTTTTAATCATACAATCATACTAATAATTCATACAAAACAACTTCTTCGAGTATTTCGAATACAAAACAACTTCTTCGAGTATTTTGAAAACAAAATTATCAATAATAGCATCTAATTCATACAAAACAACTTCTTCGAGTATTTCGGATACAAAATCATCAATAATAGCATCTAATTCATACAAAACAACTTCTTCGAGCATTTTTTGGATGCAAAATCATCAATAATAGCATCTAAATCAATATTATCAAACATGTCTTTTCAATGCACAATATTGCCAATCCATTCAACCTTTCTTGTGACATTGATGACCTCAAGTACGTCTTCAATAACTTCAATTTTGAAAAACTCCTTTCAGCAGATGATATGGTCACATGTACTGTCAACATAATTCGATAAGCAACTGAAACATTAGGGTAACAATCTAAAACTTTGACAAACTCAAGAATTTCAACTGCCATCATTGATTTATTTGGCAAAGTCACCTGCAACACCTTCAATTCAAAATAAAGATCATTTACATCCACATCTACCACATTATTATGATAAAAGGTATCACCAAAATGAACACAAGATCTCATCAATTCATTTTCATCCAATGAATTTAGTTTATCAGAATCGAATAGGAATCCAAAAATACTTTCAAATTTCTTTAATTGTTGAAATCTATTATTCAATGAAGAAATTGTCATGTACACAATGGTTAGAAAATAATTAATTATAAAAGCCTCCTCTTCTGATGCTTGCATTTCTTGTTCACTGTTATTTTCATCAAATTGTTTTTTCCTAATAATACGACGTTTAATTAAAAATGTAGGATCTATATTCATTTCACATGCTATTGTTTTAGCAGTATCCATACTTGATGCAAACCCTTCATTCCTATACTTTTCAAAATACTTCACTACACCTTCAAATTGTTCCATGGTAGCATTAATGCAATAGATTTTAATTGCAACCTTTTTACTAACCATGTTTATTGAAAATAAAACATCATACCAAACAATCATACCAAGTAAAAACTCAAAATTTTCAGCTGCACTTACCAAACTTTCCGCTTCACTTTTCGTCTTGGCATCATCACATGATTTGCATAATTCAAGCAAAGCCGATCTTATTTAAGGAGCTTGAAATCTAATTGCCTTAACACTTTTTATTCTACTTTCCCAACGTGTGTTGCACAAAGATTTTACAGTTAAGTTTGACACATTATCAAGTAACAYCTTCCACCTTTTTGTAGAACTAGCAAATAATGTGTATATGCGTTGAACAATTCCAAAAAATGAAACAGCTTTAACACAAGAATGAGCAATATCACTTTTGTATATGTGTATAAGAGTAAGATTAAGTCTATGACAAGCACATGACATATATAACACTTTTGGATTAACTTCAAGTAATCGATTTTGTACCCCTTGGTGTTTTCCCTTCATTTTAGAACCATTATCATAACCTTGACCCCTCGCATCATCAACACTAAGATCGAGAGATTTAAGTACATCTAATAATTCATTGAACAACCCTAAACCAGATGTATCATCAACCTTTAAAAACTCTATAAAATACTCCTCTATAAAATACATTGAAACGTAATTAGTAAGCAAATAAGTCAATCATGTATTTTGTTTCTATGCATATAAATTACATGAAATTTGCATTTGCAATTACAGTACAAGTTTTATGACTTCACACAGAGTTTCAAAAAGTTAATAACATGGCCCTAAACAGTGAATCACTGTTCAGTGATCTAAACAGTGAATCAGTGAATCAATTATCTAACTAATGCCTAAATTTAATAATTCAATGGTTCACTTATAGCTTCCCTAAGCAGTGAATCAGTGATCTAACTAATGCCTAAATTTAAAAGTTCTTGACAGAACTGTTGAACAGCATATCTCCAGCTCCGAGCCATCATCCAAAATACCACCTCCAGAATCTAAATCAAAGACTACCATAGAGCCAATTACTCTAGAATCAACTATCCCCGAGTTTATTCCAGAACCTACTCATGTTGATCCAAAGACTACTCCCTCTACTTCTGCTAGTCAACAAGTTCAAACATCAGAGGACAGAGTGCAAGAAGTCATTCAAGGTATGGAAATATGGATTCTCTTTAAATACCTGTTGTCAAAGCTTCCACATCTAGAAATCAAGGACTAATATTGATGGAGATATCCATTGATAATCTACAATGAAGCAAACGAGCAAGTATACTTGGAACAAGTGAACAACCAAACCTTCATCCAGAAAATATTGAAGGTGTAGCTTAAGCAAGACATAATCAAAATATACTCCAATTAGGGTTAAAGACAGTTCCGGACATTAAGATGCAGACCATTGCTCACAACACAATCAAGTACATGGATTATACCATGGAGAGGGATTATGAAAATTGAACAACAAATAGAAATAATGATGAACTTGAACAACATAAATAGAAATTGTACACATAAATAGAAAATACATACCTTTTTGTTGCTGCCCTAAATCCACCACTTGAATGATGATGAACTTGAACAACAATTGAAATAAATCTTAAATCTTGAACTCGAAATCATAACAGAACTGTGAGAATTGAGAAACAGTGAACCAAAATCATAACAAATTAACAATTATTATCAACACATTACACATATAAGCTAGAATTTAACCTTAAGTCGGCGACGCATCGGAAACTTCATTCTAAAATCGCCAGTTGAGCCGCTTATCGTTGCCGAGTTACCGTTGGATTGTTGGAATCGAATCGCTGCAATCCCATGTAGATGAATCGTTGGCTCGTCGCTCATTGGCTCTCGCTCTCGTCTCTCTCTCGTTCTCGCTAATCACTCTCGTCTCGCTCTCGTTCTCGTAATCGGCCGATTGATGGATTGATGATTGATGGATCGACGATTTGGACTGGACTGGACATCTGGTTTTGTAAAACTCGAGCCTCTTTATTTTGTAAAATTTGGGCCCCTTTTATCATTTTCTATTAATTTTATAAACCTAATAATATAAAAAAAAAATTGGATCCCTAAACTTTTTGGGACCTGGGCCCAGCCCGCCCTCCCCAGGGACGACCCTATATATATATATATATGGGTTGGTTCAAATACTAACCAAGATTATCGTGTTAACTTTGTTAACCGATCTTGGTCGTTGATTTGAACATCCAACGGTTGTCATTTATTGAGACTAAAAATTTAATTATTTAATTACCATATTAATAAAAAATTAGGTTCACAATGGTTCAGAGGGTAGAATTG